ACGAACGAAGCATTCAGGCGAGGTTGAACTCGTACTGGCGAGTAGAATATTTTGACGAGCTTGATTCATGCGGGTGAGTCAATCTAACAGGCGATGCTTAAGCTCTACGGGCAAGCTTAATAAACAGGTGGGATCAAGCTTTGCGGGTGTGCTCAATAGTACAAGGAGAGGTTGAGTTCTACGGGCGAACTTACCAATTGGGAGTGGTTGAGCTCTACGGGCGAGCTTAATAAATAGGAGAGATTAAGCTCTGCGGGCGAGCTTGATAGGAAGATGAGGTTGAGTTCTACGGGCGAGCTTAACAGACAGGCGATGTTGAGCTCTACGGGCGAGCTCAACAGACAAGCGAGGTTAGGCTCTACAGGCAAGCTCAATAAGGGGGCAAAGTTGAGCTCGACGGGCGAGCTCAACAAACAGGCAAGGTTGATCTCTACAAACGAGCTCACGTTTGTAGCTCAACAAGCAGAAGGGGTTGAACTCTACGTGTGAGCTCAACAAACAAGAGAGGTTGAGCTCTACGGGCGAGCTCAACAAGCAAGCAAGGTTGAACTCTACGGGCGAGCTCAACAAACAGGAGAAGTTGAGCTCTACGGGCGAGCTCATGAAGGAGGCGATTAGGCTTTACAGGCGAGCTTATAAACAGGAGATGTTTGGCTTGTATTGCGAGTAGAGCAAGTTGACGACTCACTCGGGCTCGCATGCGAGCTTTGCTGAGCTCGCTAAATGCGAGCGAGCCCAAGTTATTGGCGGGCGGGGTCATCAGGCGAGCTTCTATTTCTTAGGCAATTTTCACTGTCTACAAGACCCCCTTTAAATTTTTCAGACCTAAATCAGGTCGAATATGGTCTGGAATACTTTGAATGAAAAGTCTCACTGTTCATTGGTCAGGGTGACTTTGAGCCCCCTTGGTTGAGTTGAGCCCTCAGGCGAGCTTGACAAAGTGTAGGCAAGCTCAAGAAGTGTAGGCGAGCTCAAGCCTTCAAGCGAGCTCAAGCCATTGGCATGCAAGCTCTAAATATGCGGGCAAAATCTGGGTGTCAACAGGCGAGATTAGGGCTGGTCGACTTAGATCCCTACAGGCGAGATTCAAGTTGATGAGGGTCAGCCACGTGTCCGCGGGCGGGCTCCTATGCTTGCCAGCTAAGGCGACACCTCGTCGTCACACGCTCATTCTAAGCCGCGAATTTGATGGCGTCCTTGTTCTCCACCATCGATTTGATGAGAGATCATGTTTGAACCACCAGATCCTAGCCATTCATGCGGAATTCTGAACATCCCGCCTCACTTGCGGCCGTTCAATTCTAGCTATTGAATCGAACAGTCCACAGACGATTTGAACCGTTTGTTGGTGAATCTCAACCGTAGAGACTCCGCCTATATAGTGCGCTCTTCTCCTTTATCGGGAGGTTACCATGCTATCGAACTCTTTGCTCAAGTTTTCGAAAAAACTCAGAGCTCTCATCCTCATTCTTCCTCGAACTCAATATGGACCCCAAGAAGATTGCTTCCAAGGGGAGGAGGACAGCCACTTCTTCTGTCGCTGCCGTTATAGCTAACTTCGGTGTGAGTCGGTCTCGTCATGGTATGTTAAGGACTATGGATCGAAGATGGAGGAGATGAACAGACTTCACTTCATCTTCTGACGAGCTTCGCCTACTCTGGCGAGGTTCCTCCATTACGACGAGCTTAACTGTCAGGCGAGCCCCTACCTTGTCATGCGAGCTCCTGCCTTGTCAGGCGAGCTTAGTTTGTAAGCCAAGCTTTGCTAGCCCACCTATTCGAACCACGCTTGGACATTGCAGGCCGGTTGTTTTGACGACTTGAGAGAATTTTTCAACCTTTGAGTCAAAGTTTTTAATTTTATCTCGTTGTGTTTCGCAGCTCGAGAGGAGGCCCCGATCGCTAGGCTTCACAACCTAGGCTCTTCTGTGAAGAAACCTTCTCTAGAGAGGAAGCGGGTCGATATGAGGAGATCGCTCGCAAGAGGAGGCCAGCGAGATCGGAGTCTAAGCCTATCTTGACATCTGATGATGAGGAGGAGTTGCCCACTCCGGTATCTACTCAGACATATTCCCCATAGCCCTAGTGTAAGCCTGGCCTCCCTAACCCAGCCAACATAGGGGGTCCTGGATGGAGGCCACCCGTTGATGATGACGGGCCTCTCTCCCGGGTGTAGCCTATTGCTGTGATGACCTCGGGTCAAGAATCTGCTTCTCCGGATCCTAGATTCATGCAGGGCCTCATCCAATGGTTAGAGAATGCTATGAAACAAGCCATATCCATTTTGAGATATTTTGTATTGTCATGATTTTGTTCAAATGCATTGTCTCAAAATCTGCTCATGAATGAAGTTTATGCTTTGGTCGCCTAATGTCATGCGCGTATACTCCTTTACTCTTATCTGTCTTAGGATTTTTAACAAATCCTCAGTTGTCAACGAATTTGATTCGCATTTACTGATTACCGTTTGAATCGGGCTAGTCGTACTATTCCCCTCTGTACGATGAGTTGTTAGAAAGTTTCTTTTATAATTAATGCTAAAATTTTTTTCCTACCCTTAGCCGTTCGAGGTGTTGGGTTGGATTAATTACAACTGTTAAGTCGTAATTAGGTTGGGCTGTGTCGTTAAAATGTAACGACTTAGTCCAAAATGATTGGTTACTTGCGGGAGCGACCGGGGAAAGTGTCGATAGGGCACATCGCTTAGTAGGCCTGTTGTCCATGAACAACATTATTTGCGGGAATGATGACGTTGGGGGAATCAAATTGTTCAGGGACATATGAGTGTGATGATTGATTATTATAGGAGCCAACGCATTATAGGCTGTTACCCATCGATGGTTCTAAGGAAATATTAGAGCGCTCGGAATGGATCAAATCGTTCAGGGATGTATGAATATGACGATTGATCAGACAATGCTATTTGCGAGAATGACGAAGTCGACTATTCGAGGTAATCATTAACATGATAGGATTGTTATGATCGGAGCGACTCGGTGGACCTACCGCTTCATTGAAGAGAGTTGGTAAGTAGACTTTTGTCAGAGGTGTGGTGTTAACATGATAGTGGGAGTGGTCTCGTCTTCTTATTGGAGAGGATCGATGAGGAAATTTGGAGGAGCCTATCAGAGGTAACAGCTAACTTGATAGTTTTACAAGATCCATTGTCCAGTTGAATGAGACTGACAAAGAAATAACTATCAGAGGTAACAGTTAACTTGATAGTTTTACAAGATCCATCGTCCAGTTGAATGAGACTAATAAAGAAATGACTATCAGAGATAGCAGTTAACTTGCTAGTTTTGGGGACCCACCATCTTATTGGAAAGGATAGTCGAGGGAATTTAGTTTTGATCATAACTGTAGGAAGTTTAACCAGGTGGGAGATTTGGGATGACCCTAACTGTTCAAAGTTTTAGTCATCCATTTTGAAAGCAGACCTCTCATTCTAGGAAGGAATCGAGAGGAGATTTTAGCTATGGTCCTAACTATAGGAAAGTTTGACCAAGTGGGAGTTGTAAGGAACAGTTTAGCCTCATGCGCTAGTAGGAGGAAAGAAGGAGTAGTTTAGCCTCATGCTCCAGTGAGAGGAAAGAAGGAGCAGTTTAGCCTCATGCACCAGTGAGAGAAAAGAAGGAGCAGTTTAGCCTCATGCATCGGTGGGAGGAAAGGAGCAGTTTAGCCTTATGCACCAGTAGGAGGAAAGAAGGAGCAGTTTAGCCTCATGCACCAGTGAGAGGAAAGAATGAGCAGTTTAGCCTCTTGCACTAGTAGGAAGAAAGAAGGAGCAGTTTAGCCTCATGCACCCGTAGGAGTAATTTAGCCTCATGCACCAGTAGGAGGAAAGAAGGTGCAGTTTAACCTCATGCACCAGTGGGAGGAAAGAAGGAGCAGTTTAGCCTATTGTACCAGTAGGAGGAAAGAAGGAGCAGTTTAGCCTCATGCACCAGTTGGAGGAAAGGAGCTGTTTAGCCTTATGCACCAGTAGGAAGAAGACTAAGGGTAGTACTTCTTCAGGAATTTGTTATTGATAGGCATTATAATCTTGTCACCGTTTGGTTTGATGAGTAAATATGCTCCATTCGAATAGACTATTTCTATTACAAATGGACTTTCCCCTTTGGGTTGGAATTTATCTTTCTTCTTGGAGTTGAGGATCATGGGTCGCCGAACTACGAGGACCAGCTCTCCCTCCTTGAAGGACATGTGTTTGACTTTCTTATCGAAAGCCTTGGAGATTCGGGTTTGATAGAACTCAATATGTTGCTGAGCTTCAAGTCGCTTTTTATCTAGCACCTCAAGCTCGGCGAGACGTTATTGATGACTTTCTTCAGTCATCATCCCCGTTACAAGCGTGATGTGTAGGGACGAAATATAAATTTCGAGTGGCAACACGGTCTCGCAACTGTATACCAATGAGTAAGGTGTGGCGTCGGTCGGCGTGTGAACCGTTGTCCGATACACCCATAAGCTTTCACCTAGCTTCTCATCCCAGTTGCGCTTGCTATTGGAGATCAGCTTGGTCAAGATCTTGATGATCGTTTTGTTAAAAACCACGTTAATCCGTTTGTTGAGAGATTATAAGCCGTGGATGCCAGGTTCTGTATTCTAAATTTGTCACACAACCGAGGGAAGACATGACTCATGAATTATGATCCATTGTCATGAATGATGCACCTCGGAACACCATATCGGTAGATGACGCAATGCTTGATGAACTTGATCACATTATTAGTTTTGACTTCTCTTAAGGGGACATCTTTGGTCCACTTGGAGAAGTAGTTGGTTAACATAAGGATGAATCGATGACCTTTGGCCGATGGAGGAGATATCAGTCCGACGATATCCATCCCCCGTGTCTCAAACGGCCATGAAGTTGTCATTGGATGTAAGTCTTCGGGTGGTTTGTGCATGTAATTGGCGTGGATTTGACATGTGTGGCAACTCTTGGCGTAAGCGATAGCATCGTTGATCATTTTGGGCCAATAGTAGTCGATTCTTCACAAGCGGTCCCAGAGCTTAGGTTCGGGTTGGTGAGCACCGCATGTGCCATTATGGGCTTCCCACAAGGCTTCCTGTGCTTCTGTCATTGAGATACATCGAAGCATCATGCCGTCATATGATCTAAAATGTAATGTCTTTGTGGTGGCATCGTAGTAGAATCTTGGTGCGTGCCTGCGAACAGATTCTCGATCCTTGACGTCTTCAGGTAGTATACCATATAGGACATAGTCTATAATTAGGAAGCGCCAATCTCTAGACTCGGATTGGCCTAAAACTTGGTGAGTTGCATTCACCTCTAGGGTATCCTCCGGTTGGTAGAGTTGTCGGCTTATCACGGTGACTTGTTGGCTTGTCCCCAGCGGTTGAGCTAGGTTTGCTGCCAATGACGCTAATGCATCTGCATGCGTATTCTTATAATGGAGCACATGCTCAATGTGGACGCTATTGAATGATTTGGCTAATTTAATGGCCACTTGGTGACATGAGATTAATTCGTCATTTCTGACTTCATATTCCCCTGTCATTTGCTTGACAATAAGCTGAGAGTCACCGTAGGCTTCAAGGTGCTTCACCCCTAATTCCTTGGCAAAGTCGAGTCCAATGAGCAGGGCATTGTACTCAGCTATGTTGTTAGTACATAGCTCAGTTAGTGAGAAAACTTGGGGTAATACATAGATTTGTGGAGAAACCATGTCCACCCCCACACCTGCAATGATATACTCACTTGCGCCCACGCGAGATGCGTCGTCGAAGTATAGTCGCCAGACTTCTTCCTGTGAGGTAACATTGACCTCATGGGTTTCGTCCAGCTTGTCTTCAAACAATTCAGCCTTCAACTTGAGTGGGTGGCTGGCCATGAGATCGCAGGGGGCTGTAACATAAGAATTGAGGAGCATGTTCATCTTTGTCTGACTCGTCCTACAGTGTTTGTGCGAGTTGGTCTATCCTTTTGAAGATAATCTCTTGCCAAGGAACATTCCGGGCGAGTATGACAAAGATTACTTGCAAGGACTCGATCATCTGCTTGTTTGTGACAAACGTCGAGTGCGCTAGCAAGTATAAAGAAGAATAGGAGTACAATCCTAAGATCAAGTCACTGAACTCATCATCAATAGATTTTGCATCAGACAACAAGTAAGCAAGATGAGGTTCTTCGTTCAAGATAAGTCTGTCCGCCTTGTTAGCGTCAGTTACAACAAGGTCTTTGTAGCCGATTATAATGGGTTCAATGTCATTTAGGACAAGACCCTCGTTGCACTCAGACTCACTATCGACCTCATTGTCGCTACCCCCTTCTTCGACCGGTGGTTTGTTTCCCGGTTCTGAGTCTTAGTAGAGCAGGGAGTCGGTGAAGTAGTTTTCAACCCCTTTGAAGGGCTGTTTATCCACAACTACCATCTTCACCTAGTCATAGTCATCTACATATTTCAAGCATTGGTGTAACATGGATGTGACTATCTTACTACCATGGATGCATGGTCAGCCCAATAGCATGTTGTATTAGGGTTCTACGTAGATGACATAGAAGGTCACCTTAGTTTTCATGTCGCCCAATCGGCATTTGAGATGAATCTTATCGAGCGGCCAGGTTCCAGTGGCGTTGAAGCCAAAGATTGTGGTGGTTGTCGAAGACAATCGCTTTTGAGGCACCCCCAAGCGCTTCATGAGCTTTAGGGGGACAATGCTCAATGCAGACCCTAGATCTACCTGGATTCTGTCTATCCTCGAAGAGCCGATGTATCCTGTGAAGTACAGGGGTCAGTCGTGAGATGTTCTTTTGATGAGCATATCCTCTGGAGTAAAAGTAATGCAGGGGATCTGTTGTTTGGATGCCTGGCAGCATTCCGGACATCCCGTTTCTGCCTCCTCTTTGGGAGTGCACAAGAAATGTGTGGCAAAAGCTTTTGAATCAGTCAGTGCCTCTTGTAGGGCTTCATGTGTCATGTTGGACAACCACAAAAGCTCGTACAAGGTGATCCTGGCTGGAATATTCTTCAGTTGGGCGAGTAGGTCGAATCAAAAGGGTTGACCACTCGAGCTCGGCCTGTCAAGACTTCGCTGAACTGTCGGTGGCAGTCCTACTGGTAGCCTTGCCATACTCTTTATCATCGGAGGGTAGTTCTTAGCAAAGTCCTTCTCTACTCGGGTGATCAATGCGTCTGCCTCCACGTCAGAATTAGTGAGGGTTGCTACCTCCACTCTGTTATCATCTGGAATTGCCGAAATGACATTACAAAGCTTAGCATTCCCTTGGACTTATTAGAAGTCCATTGCTTGTCGTCGAGGAGGTCGGGATGAACACACATCATCTATTCTGATGGCAAGGTCTATGATACCAAGCATTTTTCCCATTGATTGTGAAGGTCGTCATTGACAATCTTTAGTTCTACCTTGAGGATTGGCACGATTCCTGCCAGTGTATAAACCTCAGGGAGAACCGTTCTGAATTTAAGGGTGATCATGTTTGTAGTCACTGATTTCTGCACTTTCTCCTTCTTTAGGACTACTATGTCGTAAAAAGCCTGCAACTTATCCTTAAGGATATAACATTTAGAGGTATGGTGACCGACAAATCTGTGGTACGCATAGTAGCCTGGATCATCCGTTTTGTTCACGTCTTCAGGTTTCATGACTTCTGGCAGCTTAATCATATTTCTCTTGAGCAGAGTGTTGAAGGTAGCCACCACCTGGTCTTTTGTGAAGTCGTATTGCCTTTGTAGGCATTACTCGAAAGGCCTAGGCTTTTGCTTCTGCGTGGGCTTAGGGGCTGGAGCAGAATCGACAACCATGATCTCCTTCCCCTTTGACCGAGGGTTCCTAGAGGTGTTTGGTTCCGAAGCCCTGCTCTTGGGCTGAGGCTCTTCGGCTTCCAATCTTTTGATCATGTTCTTGACTTTCTCACCTTGGCGAACAAGTTCCTTCCATGTTCGGGTTTCTACCGCATCGATTCTAGAGAGAATGTAGATTGAGAGGTTGTTACAACACATCACAACCAGGATGCTCATGAAGACTTGGTCCCAACATTGAAGTGATCGATTCCTGAATCTCTTGATGAAATCATTGACCGACTCCGTCTTCTTTTATTTGTCGACCAACAGAGTGGCCATCGATACTTTCGTATCGTCATCGAAGAAACGAGCCAAGAAAAGCCTCTCCACATCGGCTCATGTCGTGATGGAGCCTGGTTCTAGTTTACGAAACCACTCAAAGGCTACTCCTCTCAGGGTACCAATGAATAGTAGGGTGAGAATGACGCCGTTTCCTATGAAGAATCTCGTCTGAGATAGGAAATAGTAGATGTGCTGCGAAGGAGAACCCTTGCCATCAAACTGGACTAGGCTCATTGGTTTGAACTTTGTCGGGTAGGCGATCGTGTCCCATTTAACTGGATACGGTCAAACCAGCCCCAGCTCGTTCATGTTTCTCTGGAGCTTCAAGGCGTTGAGCTGACTCTGGAACTCATCAAACTTTTTGTCTCGGGGAGTGCTACCCGAATGAGAGTGTCTTCCCAAGGATTTGTTGGAATAATCCAAATGTGATCCGTGATTATCCTCTTCTTCAGTTGTGTGAGAAGGAGTAAGCTCTCGCTCCCTGTTCCTCAAGGGTCTTTGCTGTCTCCATGAAGTTTTCTTCTTCTTCTTGTTCAGAAGTTGTGTCATCTGCTCTTTTAGAGAGTTGATGGTCGCCTGTTGCTCCTCAAACTTCTTGGCCAAGTCTTCCGAGGATTCTGCCATGTGCACCCTTGCGTGATTGCCGTAGGCCGGGCTTGAGGTCTGAGATGTTGCTGCTGCTGAGCACACCTCATCCTCGTTGTCGTAGATGGGTAGCAAACGAGCATAATCAAATGGGATAGCTGCTACTGTTTGAAGGTGAGTGCGTTGGTACACACCCCCTCTTCAACATGGGGCTATCTGAACCCCGGGGTATATTCAAGGTCTGATAAATCCAAATGCCAGACTTTACCTTTCGCTGCCATGTTGGTTGTGGCTTCCAGGAGCTCTAAGTCACCCATGACTCACCTCTTCTAATGATGGCGTCTTTGGCAGGGATGTCTTGGCTCAGAAGATTGTCGAAAAAGCCTCCCGAAGACTGATGGCTTTGGCGCCTCAGCACACTAGCAGTTAGCAAGTACCGCCTGGATGAGCCTCTCGTAATGACACTGAGGGTTAGCCTCGTGAATAGTACATTTGCGAGTCAGATGATCCGTGAGATCTCCTACGGGCTGATGGTGGCCACCCCTTGCGTTGGAAGGACCAATAGTACAATTGCATGGAAAAGACTCGAAGGAGTCAAAATGAGAACACTTGGGAAATTTCCCAAGTGTTGATTTCATGCGACCTTGCCTTGACAGGTGAGGTTCAGAGTTTAGGCGAGCTCGAGTCGTCTGTTCATTTGGGCGAGGTTCGCTCGCTTGAGTTGTTTTGGTTTTGCCTTTTTGGCTAAGGCTCAATTTTAGGCGGGCCTGCAGGGCTTCGCCCATTGACCGAGGCTTGCCTGCTGTGCGAAGCTTGCCTATTTGAGGGCGTGGCTCGCCTGTTATGCGAAGCTCGCCTGCTTTGGAGACATGACTTAGGGAGCGAAGCCCGCCTGATTTGGTAGGCTTGCCTCTCTTGCTGAGTTTGCCTGAATGAGGAATTTTGCTCATGAAGTGGGGTTCACCTGTATGAACAGGCTCACTTGAATTGCCAAGTCCGTCAGCTTTGGGGAGTAGGCTGATTGAACGAAGCCCATCTGAATAGGTGGGCTCGCCTGCTCGACCTGGTCCGCTAAACCTGGGAACTTTACGTTCCTGCTTAGCGCTTCTTAGGCTTAAATAGTAACTCAGACCATCATAAGAGATGAAGGCTCGGGTTTCTTGGTAGGCGAGAGCTTGTCGTCATCGTCGTTTAGCTCTTTTGGAGAGGGGGGTGTTCATATTGATAGTGAAGGTGTGGTCCGCGCTGACATGCACCATAGTCTCCTCTTGCATGGGGAACCGTGCAGACTACTTGGGAACCAATCGAGTAGTCCTTTGGCTGGCTTGGTTGGCCATTGGCTCAGTTTTGGTTGGCTTTGGGGAGGTAAAACCCCCAGCTTTAGCTCGGGTAGAGCTCTCAGGCGTGGCTGCCTCGACCACTTAGGGTTGGGCCACACGCGCAACTCTGTAGCGTTTGTGTCATGCATGGCTACCAGAGGAGGAATAAGACAAGTATTCTTCATACTTGGTTTGGTCGAACTCAATCATAAGGGACTCAACGGTCGTCCCTTCCGCAACTTTGTCAAACTGCGCCACCACCAATTCATCAGAATGAACGGTTTCTCCAACTATGGTCACCATCTTCTGTTGGGCATAAAAATTAACTTCTCATTTGAGGGGTCGTTTGTATTTGTAAGAATAACTTTTTACAAACTACAATCAATGTTTACAATAGAGTAGAAGGGAATGACCCTCCTTATTTAACGTAAGTTCGTTGGCAGTGGTACGACGCCTCTCTCGATGCTCGCGTCGAGTTTGCTTCCCTTGGACGATCCGATCGAAGTTGTGATTGGAGCCTCAGTGCGTAGTAGAGGCTCTGAAGCGATTGAGTTTGACTGTAGCCGAGCTTGAAAAATATCAAAGTCGTGAGCTTGGAGAGAGCTACAATGCAAGGGTTTGCAGAGAGCTGATGAGCCTCAAATCTGGGGTTCAGTTTGAGTCTATTTTAACAATCCAAGTAAGGAGCTAGGAATGTTCTACCAAGAAAGTGAGCTCCAAAACAAGTCCCTAGTTTAAGAGCCTTGTTAATAGCAATGCCAAGTCCCAGCCAATCAACTACCAACCTCAGTCTCTGATTGAAGAGCCTTGCGTATGAAAATCTCCAACCTCCTTCACGTTGACTGAAGATGGCATTAAATAGGTAAGGGATGGCATGGGTTATCTCTTGATTTGTGAGATATGACCACCAATGGGTGAGGGGCACCATGCCCTCTCCTAACTGTGGGATGTGACCACTATAGGGGTGATGATAGTCATGCCTCATCATCACCCAGGATGTGGAAAGTGGGTAGGCCTACTCCCACAAGCAAGCGACCTGCTTGCAATGCTCAGGCAAGGCTGGCAAAGCTACGAGCGAGCTCGTGAACTGTCTGAATGCTCAGGCGAACTTGTAGGCGAGCTTGGCGAACAGTCAGGGTCGGTTGGCGGGCCCCTCCAACGTGTGAGCTGGCATTCGTTGGAGCATGCCTACAGGAAGTTCGTGCAAACGAACTCCCTGCTGGCATGCTTTGGCTCGTGCGGACGAACGAAGCATTCAGGTGAGGTTGAACTCGTACTGGCGAGTAGAATGTTTTGACGATCGAGCTTGATTCATGCGGGCGAGTCAAGCTAACAGGCGATGCTTGAGCTCTGCAGGTGAACCCAATAAACAGGCGGGCCGGATCGAGCTCTGCGAGCGTGCTTAATAGTACAAGGAGAGGTTGAGTTCTGCGGGCGAACTTACCAATTGGGAGTGGTTAACTCATTTTAATCCCACTAGAGGGGTTAGCTTAACCCTTCTATATTTTTAATGTTTGGCAAATTATGAAGGGTTAACTCACTTTAACCCTTGTATAGTTTTTTTGTTTGATGGGTTAAGAAGGGGTTAAGTCTTCTTAACCCCTCACTTAACCCTTTGCCCAACGACACCTCACGAATTAATAAGAAAACCAATTGTGGCTGAAGAAGTTGTCTCTTGGTCTTTCTCTAATCAAGTTAGGACGTGCTTTAGTAATATAACCCTTCAACTTCTAAGACGCCAAGACGAGAATATCAAACACAAAAGCCTCTTAATATGAACAGGGTACCTCACACTATTTTTCAGTTCAAAAAAAAAAAAAAAAAATTGAAACGTCAACAGAAAAAAAGACAAAGAAAGATGACGTGGAAAAAGTTAAAGATGATGATTGCTTTGAATATAGATTGCGATGAAATTGTTAGCTATGAGATATATACATCCCATCAATTTAAATCGCATACTAACCTTCATATTTTCAAGCAAAGGTGGTGGTAATGATGATGATCGTGATGATATGTTTTAAGTTGCAGCGAAGGTGCTAGTGGGTATCAGTTTAATAAAAGCGATTTTATTTATTTTAGATCAACCGGGTTTTCTAGTTTGTTTTATTTTTTTCTATCATAATGTTAATAATAATACATCAATGAGGTGGTGCAAAGAGATTTTCCACGTCCAAGGAAATTTCAGGTTATGTAATTTATGCAGTAGTTCTTTGTTATACAATTTGGGTTTTCTATATCAAAAATATTATTCTAATCTAATTTTGATTACCTAGATTTGTTTTAGCTCTGCAAATCATCTAATCAACATTAAGGAGAATCAAAATCATCGTGGCAGCAATATAAACAAGCTAACTCCAAAGGCATTGCCGCATAGTGCAGAGTTGAAAGATAAAATATGACATAGTAATTGTTAAATATAGTAAAATTCTTCTGTACTTTTCAATTATAATACTTGTTATTCAAATATCATAGTATAATTTCAAAGCTTATCATGTAGTTCACGTTATAAGATTGAATTCTTTGCATGCCTTCCTCTCACAGGCATCTCCTCTTATCCTTAAAATGAGACAGAGAACAAGGGCACAATGTAAAACAATTACTGTAAAATAGTTGACGCTCTGGTGCTATATTTATTTTTTATTTTTAATAGATATAGATTTCCTACTAAATAATGTTTAATATATACTTATTAATTGAAAAAAAGTTCAAAAGTTCCTTCATGGAAGAATTCACTTTATGTGATAATATTAAAAAATGGAAAAATTTGCAAAATAGACAGATTTTGCTAAATATTTAGCAAAACAGATCGTTTTGCTAAATATTTAGCAAAATAGACCTCTTTTTGAACTGTTGGTAAAAAAGAAGTCGATTTTGCTAAACAGATCATTCGAAACATACAGGACTAGTCCCGTATGATTTAATCCCCCATTAAATCATTCAGGACTACTAGTCCCGTATGTTTCGAATAGTCTGTTTTGTAAAATCGATATTTTTTTGGCATGTTGGCCAAAAGATGTCTATTTTGCTAAATATTTAGCAAAACGGTCTGCTTTGCTAAATATTTAGCAAAATAGGTTTACTTTGCAAATTTCTTCTAAAAAATTTGTCGCAAACTTTTGTAAGGAAAAAAAAATTCCGCAGCAATACTGTCGAGTGGGAAAATGAATTGGTACGTCAAGCAATAGGGAGGGGACACCTCACCTGTTCTCTTCCCTTGTCCCATAAAAATGGTCCCTGTAGAACTATTCATGTCGAGTGTAAGACTCTAGTTAATAAAATATAAGAGAAACCTATTATAGAGGGGTTGTAGGCATCTTTTACGATCACAAGAACGTAGAGGATCCCATGACATACACTCAAATGAAAATCAAGCGGCTATAAAAGCTCACCGTGCGCTCTTTTCTTCACTCATGCAGTTTTCAACGCTCTCTCTCTCTCCGTCCTCTCTCTGTGCAAAAAGCTTTGTCACCTTCTGAGTCTTAATGACTACATTCTGCACCCGAAATCAATACGGTACCTCCAACTTTAATCTCCACCAAAAATAAAAGTTTATTTAAAAACTAATCGGAAAAGATCAACGAGAGAGAGTGTGTCTGCGCGCGCCCGTTAAAAAGTTCATACCTCTGGCTCTCCCCACCATGGAAACCTTCAGCCTCCTCAGATACTGGAAATCAAACCGCGACTGCAGCAGCACCAATTTCGCCACCTCAGCTCTCCGTTCGTCAACGGACTCCTCCTCCTCCTCCTCCGACGACGACGACGACGACGGGTCCTTCTTCGATCTCGACTTTAGCGTCGAATACACCGCCGACGGCCAGGACGAAAATGCTGTAGAGAACCTCGACGATACCTCGTCGGAATCCGGCGAAGAAGCAGCATCGCCGACGTCGTCTTCGGAGCTGAGCGTTTCTCTGTCGCCCTCCGATCATCTCTTCTTCAACGGAGATCTCATACCTCTCGAAGATTCCGATCCCAAATCCTCTCAATTCTCCGTCTCTCTTCTCAAATCCGCTACTAGATTTCGCGTCTTCATGCTCCGCCTCAGGAAACCTAAGTCCGCTCAAAATCAAAACAAGAACACCAAATCCTTCGTCAATTTCAAAGTAGAGGAGGTCCCGATCGTCTCTCTCTTCAGGAACCCGCTAAAGACGCGGAGATCTGATGACGACCTGGTCGAGGATAAGGTCAAACTCTCGAAAGAGACGGTCCAGAAGTACATCAACAAGATCAGGCCCCGAAATGGCCTCGAAACTGAGTAGTTGGCATCGCGTAAGCTACACCGACTGTCGATGCGTCGCTAACGGAAGCATCTGCTGAAGAGCAAGTCGGCGTTCGTCGGGCAGGCTGCTGCGCGGTTGACCTCCCTCCACGGCGGACAGGTGTCAGCGAAGGGGAGAGATGACCTCGCTGAGGAGGATGGGATTCAGAGCGCCATTGCTCACTGCAAGAGCTCTTTGATCAAAGGTACGTAGAAGACGCTCGCTACTTCCATTAATTCTTTCTTTATTTTATTTTTTAGAATTTCTCTTTTTTTTAAGAATTATTTAAAAAAAAATTTGATTGTTTGCAGGTTCCCGGTCGCCGTTGGTGCGGTCAAACAGCGATCAAACCGATGTTAGAAGTTAGAGGGAAAGTGCTCAGAGAGGAAACAGAGAGACTACTCTCTTGTAGCTTTTTTTTTTTTTTTTTAATTAAGTTTTTCTTGGGGTTTGTTAATTTGTTTTGTCGTAGAGTCAGGTCAGTACAATATATGATTTAGGTGAACTATGTTAACTAAGTAGCAAATCATTTGGGCCCTAAAACGTGTGGCCAAACACGTGAGTTGTGATGTGGTCCAAAAAGAATTTGCTAGTTCATGATATCTCAGTGTTTTAGTTGTAATTTGTACTTATATACAATGTTTGTTTGGATGCTGGTAAATTGCGTGAGCTCCGTATAGTCCTCACTGAAAGCTAAATCAAAAATTGAGCGGGAATTTGGATTCTACCGACTACTTTTAATTAAACAATAATAATGAATTTTCTTAATTATAAAACTATTTAGTATCGATTGTGGTTCATGTTGAGCGAAAATATAAAGGACTATACAACATAGGTCACGTAAAATATTTGACCATTGTTACTACTTTGGATCCAAATCCCTTGGATTAGGGTAACTCCAACATCATGTTCTATGTCAGAAATCTGCTGCAAGTTTTTACTACTGATTTTGGCAAATTTACTCTTATCTTTTAGGAAGTATCTGCATGTATTTCCAAATCCAAATGAAAAAGAGAAACTTAGCAACTAACTAATATTTGTAGATAATTGGACACAGTTGAACAACAAACCTTACCATCGGAACTACAATTTTTTTTTTAAAATGACATGCAACAAAAAATGCCAAAACAGAACTTATCAAATTCAAACTTTTTCTTTCATACATACTTTTGAAAGACCAACAAAAGAGGAGGAAGTTAAAACATTAAATTAAAAAAAAAAGTAGAAAATTCCCCGGTCCTTTTTACGAAAGAAAGCCAGAAAAAGTTTTTAACTTTTTGCATTATATAGTACAGAGTACAGTGGGTCACCCGACTCACGCGAGGTATAGGAGCAGCGAATCCGAAGAAAAGAGCAGGTACTCGTGACTCGTGAGAGGTGTCGGTTTCCTTCGTTTTTCTTCCGAATTGATAGAGGATTGATTCTATTGTACACTTTATGCATAAATTCGGGGCAACAATTTTCATATGATTCAGTTATTAGGCTTGAGTAGTGTGGGAATTTTTTTATTTTTTTATTTGGTTAGTGTTTGGGTCAAAAGTCGATGTTTTCATTATTTTAAATTTATTACAACTTTAGTCGTTACAAAAAACGTAAATAAACGAGAAAAATAGATCTTTTTATAAGATCGACTTATACAATGAAAATGTAAAATAGTACAACTCTTGTCAAACTGCTTGCGTGGGAACTTCGCCAGTGCCGGGGACGTTAATATTTGTGGACCGCCACGGATCAGATCCGGTTGACAGATTAAGTTGATCAAAGTTCTTACTTCACGAAGGAAGTAATCGCAACAGCGGTAATCTCGACCAAGCGAGATACGGCTCTTCTCGAGATTTAAGACCAAGCTTAAATTCGGAGGAATAGGGGATGAGTCTCAGATCTCTCGAACTCCACTCTTTATGCATAGGAATTCGCCAAGATCTGTTAACCCTCGTTGTAAATTCGTGGCTCCACTCTCCACTTCGACAGCGTTTCGCCCTCTTGATCTCCCCCTGTGAAATGAGCCCTTAGGCCTGTATTTATAGGCTTCGGTTGGGGGTTTTTGGATAAGAACGATGGATTCCTCCTTATCTTCAGTTAACAACTGTATAACTTCGTTTAGAGATAACATTGAGGCAGTTAAGAACCTCTGGAACAGAAGAAAATCTCGTGAAGACCCGTCAAAACGCGTTTCCGGATCAGATCGACGTGCGGGCCAATGCTTGGTGGCTCGGCCCTAGGCCGAGCCACTGGCCCTGGCCGAGTCCATTTTGGTACGACTCGCCGCCCAGCGGCTATTCTGTTTCGCGGTTTTCTTGTCGTTTCACGTTGTTTACGCGTATTTTTGTTGTTTCGTTGACTAGTATGCTTGCGTCGATTCGCTTCTATGTTTGTGAACGCGCGATCGCTTGATGGTGGCCGACGATCGTGTGCAGGCCACTTGGTTTGTTGTTCCGGTGGCTTGCGAATGCGCGGGTCACTTGGAACTGGCTGATGAGTGCACGAGCCAATTGGAGATGACGCGGTGAGCATACGTGATGCTTGGTTCATCATTCCGGTGGTCGATGAACGTACGGGCCACTTGGCGGTGGCTGGTGAGTGCGTTGACCACTTGGAGGTGGCCGGTGAGCACGCGGGCCACCTGGTGTTGGCCGTTCTGATGGTTCATCGCCACGTCATCAACGTTTCGCCGATTTGCTTCATGTGCTTGTCGGTGTCAGATGATCCTCTTTGACTCGGATAATCCCCTTCGACTTGGATAATTGTGTTCATCACCTTCTCTTTGTCTTGAGTTATGCGCGGATACCTATAGGCATTTTTAAGATGCCTACAGATACCCTCTCTAAAGTGTTTCAGCATCATTCCTTTATAGAGGAGTCTGAAATACTTTGGATGTGATAGGTCCCACCTTCAGTCGGTGTCAAAGGACCTGTAGCTGGCTTAAATTCTTGACTTCTTCAGCCTTCCTTCTATTCAATGTTTTGTTGAATAGATGAAGTTCTTCCGGCACTTGGTTTATCGTTTGACCGTTGTCGAAATCTTGAACTGAAGTTGATGGGTAAGTTTCTGAACTTAGCTCTTGTCATTTAGTTGACTTTGAACTGATTATCTTTGTCGGGAATTCATATATGAATGTGATTGAACTCCCTGTAATCATCCTCTAACTCGAAATCTTTCCATAGCCTTATTTTGGCGAAATCATCGACGTGTTGATCGGCATCAACCTTTGCGTTGACCGGCGTTAACCTTTGCTGTAACGCGCGGACCAGCGTTAACAGAATTTATACTCATACGTTTGCTGGAGTTTACATAGTTTAAGATCTTAAGGCATTGGAGCGTGCAGGCGGTCACAAATGTGGGGCTGTAGGACCAACTGTTAAAGCTCATTCATCTGCATGTATGAATGTTGTCAAATCCTCAAGTCATGAGACCAACTAATGGAGCTGGTGCGTCAATGACTCTCACATTTATAGGATTTTTGGCAAACTCTCAGCCATCAACGGGTTTGATGAGCCTTTACCAGTACCGTTTGAGTCGGGCTAGCATGCGAATTGTTTAAGTCCGTTCCGTATGTAACGTTATGCTAAGAGAGTTAACTCTTTTAGTACTACGATATTGAATACGTAGACTTCATCTTTCTTATAGGAATAGACTACCCGACGACGTGTATTAGATGTAGACTTAGGATTTTTGGCAAACCCTCAGCCTTCAACGGATTTGGCGTGCCTTTACCGACTACCGTTCGAGTCGGGCTAGCATGCAGATTATTTAAATCCGTTATGCATGTAACGTTGTGCTAAGAGAGTTAACTCTCTTAGTGCTATGATGTTGAATACGTAGACTTTGTCTTTCTTACGGGAATAGACTACCCGACAATGCGTATTAGGCGCTGACTCATCCTTACTTAGGATTCAGGATAAAAGTCCCCAGACTCGGATTCTGGTATCTTCTTCACTCGGCGAAAGACTAAACCAGCAACGCATGTTAGGCGTAGACTTATCTCTATTTAGGAGTCGAGATAAAGTTCCACGCGCGTGTTAGGCGCAGATTTTAGCGTTATTAATAACGGCCTACCACAATGTCGAATATGTGAGCTTTTGTCCTTTTTATGGTCAAGGACTAACCGGCAACGCGTGTTAGGACCTGACTTATCCCTACTTAGGTTTTAGAATAAAATTCTCCGTGCGTGTAAGGCACGGATTATGGTGTTATTAATAACAACCTGTCACAATGTCGAATATGTGGGCTTTTGTTTTTTTTACGGTCAAAGACTAACCGACAACGCGTGTTAGGCGCTGACTTATCCCTACTTAGGCTTCGGGATAAAATTCCCCGTACGTGTAAGGCACGGATTATAGTGTTATTAATAACAACCTACCACAATATCGTATATGTAGGCTTTTGTCTTTTTTACGGTCAAAGACTAACCGACAACGCGTGTTAGGTGCTGACTTATCCCTACTTAGGCTTCGGGATAAAATTCTCTAGATTGGGATTCTTGTGTCTTTTTCAATCGATGAAAGACTAAACCGGTAATGTATGTTAGGCATTGACTTATCCATACTTAGGATTCGATATAAAATTCCTCGTGCGTTTGAAGCACGGATTTTAGGAGTTATAATGTTTAAAGATTATGTCTTCTCTTGGGGCAAAGACAAACCCGATGTGGGAGAGAAAGAATTTTATATTCTATCTCCCAAAACTGAAGAATAAGAATTTTATATTCTATCTCCAGTTGCCAACGAAAACTTAAAGTGTGATCTCCACTTCCAGAATCCGGGAAGGTGAAACTAAGAGTGAGATCTCCACTCCGAGAATCAAAATGATTCGGATAATCCTAATTATCGGAAGGTTTGATTACCGAACTAAAGGTGGGTTTCTCGTTTATCGAGAGTGAATTACGGTTTTGGCTTTAACTGTAGGAATGTTTAACCAAATATGAGCTTTGAGATGACCCTAACTGTAGAAAGGTTTGATCGCTCGATTTGAAAGTGGACCTCTCATTCATAAAAGGAATTGAGAGGAGATTTTAGTTGTGGTCCTAACTGTAGAAAGGTTTGACCAAGTGGGAGGATTGAGACGATCCTAACTTTTATAGGTTTGATGGCTCAATTTAAAAGTGGACCTCTCGTTCATGGAAGGAATCGAGAGTGGATTTTGGTTGTGGTCCTAACTATAGGAAAGTTTGACCAAGTGGGAGGATTGAGACGATCCTAACTTCTATAGGTTTGATCGCTCAATTTTAAAGTGGACCTCTCGTTTATGGAAGGAATTAAGAGGAGATTTTGGTTGTGATCCTAACTGTAGGAAGGTTTGATCGAGTAGACAGTGGGAGTGGGAGTACAAATCACAGTGGGAGTATTGACTTGTATAAATCACTCAGTA